TTCTCTCCCCAAAACCATGGCCACCATGAAAACCTCCATAGTTGCCTGTCTCCCTGCCCACGTGTCCATTTAAATCTCCTCCTATAAATAACTTCTCCGTCTGAGCAATTCCTTGCACCAAGTCTCCAAGGTCTTCCCAAAATTTCTCCTTCGAACTCGTATCCAACCCTACTTGAGGTGCGTACGCACTAATCACATTGATAAGTTCTTGTCCTATTACAATCTTGATTGCCATGATTCTATCTCCTACCCTCTTGACATCTACAACATCTTGTGTCAAGGTCTTGTCCACGATGATGCCAACACCGTTTCTCGTTCTATTTGTGCCCGAATACCATAGTTTAAACCCTGAGTTTTCTAGATCCTTTGCCTTACGACCAACCCACTTAGTTTCTTGTAGGCACATAATATTTATCCTTCTCCTCACCATAACTTCTACTACTTCCATAGATTTTCCCGTCAAGGTTCCTATATTCCACGTTCCTAAACGCATTTTGCTCTCTTGAACTCTACCCTTCTGTCCTAGCTTCTTCACCCTTCCCCGTCTAATAGGATCAAAGTACTTCTTTTGTGTGTCCCGTGTAAAGTTGATAGGAGCATATGCTCCCAAACAACTTTGAGTGGAGTCGTTCGAAAAGAAGTTTCTATAGCCCCCTTGCTCATTTAACACTGCATCTGGGTGCCGATGGAGATACAGCGACCCTTGCTCACTTATCACTGTGCTCGGGCCACACAGCGCGCCACTTACGGGTGATGCCCTAGCTTTAGCGCAATTTCGTTCTAGATTCATTTTCATAAAGATTCGACGTGATCATGGAGTGCCGGCTGTCGACTACCTAACGCCCTCCCCCTCCTCCTTTATCCGGGCTTGGGACCGGCAATGCAAGATAAACTTACACGGCGGAGTTCTCTCATACCTCACATATCTGAAAAAAAAAAATTAAGGTATGAGATTATCAAGGAGGGGGGGGGGTTGTTTATCTCATATATAATCCTTCATATCTTCATTCCTTCCCATACGTAACAATGTTTTATTTTTATTTTTTATTTGCTTTATTTGTTTTTAAGATTACATTGTGGACTTTTAACAATAAATATGAAATTGTCATATCATTCGACAAATCAAAGATTGTGTAATACGTTAGTGTCTGATGTGATCTATTTGCAGAGATTTTTTATGGTGCTTCAACGTACAAATATTTTGAACTTTTTAACCGTTATAATGTTTTAATCAGGGGAAAGGAGCTGAGCATTGCGAAGCAGGAGGAAGGTTACACTCGTGTCTTTGAGACCACCTTTGAGAGTGTGGAGGGCATGGCACAGTATGTAGCTCATCCTGCCCACCATTTTGTCAAGCTGTTCCTTCCCAACTTGGAGATAATGTGTTTCATCGCAGCACCAGAACAGCAAGTCATGAGACCCTCAAAAACCCTACCCAAATACAGGCTATGTTGATGAAGTTCCTTTCTAAATAGAAGGATTAATCAGAATATTTCTTGAATTTGGGCTTTCCCTTTACGTTACTAATAAAGTGTAAAGTGATCGTAATGGTGTCAGTATATGCAATGAGGTTCTAGTGACATTACTCGTTCGCTGAAGCTATTTGTACCAGTTTGGTCTGTTTGATAATTATTTGGTTTTTAGACTTTTTTTAATTTTTTTTATGATATATAAATTAATAGGAGAGAAAAAAATTGGTATCGAACATTTTATTTATAAGATTCAAACTTAAAACCTCTCACTTACAGTGATTTTTTTTTATAACTTTTTTTTGCTTGACATATAGGAAGGGAAATCAAAATCTTGAAAGGGTAAATCGCCAAAATAGTTCCTGAGATTTGCATAACTCATCACTTTGGGTATAATCTTATTCTACACTTTCCTATCTTCATTTTGATATATTATGGGTCGAATTTGGTTAAGAAACGATTGAGTTATGAAGCTTTGAAAATTGCTCAAACTTCCGGCCAAGACCTCCGGGACACTTAACGGAGTTTTTAACGGAATGACCAAAATGATGGATGGTGGACAATCTCAGGGACCACTTTTATCGATTTGGAATCTCAGGGAACAAAGTGATGAGTTATGCAAATCTCAAGGACCATTTTGGCGATTCACCTTAACTTGAAATAGCTTTTAGTTTTTCTTTTTGTGTACCGTTCCTTAATGATATATTTGCTACTAAATTTGATTACCGAATATGTGTCAATGCATGTGGCAATATATTGTTTAGTAAAATAAAGTTTAGAATTAACCTAATTAAATCAATCACACACTTCCACATTATTACTAAATAAAATTCGGTGAACAAATCTGATGTGCCTAACATTACTTAAATAATTAGGTTGACAAGTTCATTATACTATACAGGCTTTTAAACCAAAATGGTCTTTGTGATTGACATAACTCCTTATTTCGGTCCCTGATATTAAAAATTGACGTGAGTGGTCCCTGAGTTTTTCCACCGTAAATCATTCATTCCATGAAAAATCTGTCAACATTATCGTTAAATTATTATGTGAGTTACTACGTGACCACCTTTTTATTGATATTTTTGTCAAACCAACCCCTGTTAACCAAAATGGTCCCTTAGATTAAACATAATTCGTCAATTTGGTCCCTGACAATGAAAATGAATAGAAGTGGTTCCTGAGTTTATCCATCGTAAATCATTTTTGTTCTTCCATGAATATTATGTTAATATCATCTTTAAATTCACGTGATGAGAATATTGACATATTTTGTTAAGGGAAATTTTATTTAAACTCATGTAATCTTTTTCTACACACAACTTTCTTTTTGCACCCATTTGATTTTTAAATAAATTATCAGTATCTCTTTAAACCCAAATTTACTACCTAAAATACCCCAACAAACCCAATTCAATACGGGGATTTATCTTTACACCCATTTGATTTTTAACTCTATTAATGACAATAATCGTATTGGAGGGTGTGTGGACACAAGATATCAGCAACCATATAAGTACCACCAGCAGCAGAAAGCGATGACGCCGTCTAGAAATGGACACTTTGAGAATTGGAGTGTGAGTTCAGCCATGGCTAACAACAACAACAGACTAACACTTCTATGGATGTTGACAAAAACCATGTATCACAATCTCTCTATGTGGTCTCTATTTCATGAGCATATGTGTTTGCTACCATACTTTTTCATGGGAATCTTTCCATTGGCTTCATGGAGTGCATGGAGCATTAGTAATAAAATTGGGTTTGTTTGAAAATATTACTGTTTGTTTGACAAGATAATATCTCTGTAATTTCGAAATCGCACACTCGCATATCAATTGCAATTTTTGCTTATGACTAGACAAATTACTCATATTTGCAGGATTCAGGAGTGATAGAAGCTGAGTTTGCTCAGATGGGCACTACAAGAGTTTTGAAGGAGTTTCTAACATATAGGAACCTCGGTCCACTTTTCCTACCCTAAAGGCAAAGGATTTGGACGTCCCACAGATGCTCCTATTGTCTTGCCAAGTTGGTTGCCTGAGGATGAGGTTAACTATTATGCCACCAAATTTGAGAAGACGGGCTTCACCCGCGGCATAAACTACTATTGAAATCCTCTAAAAAATGTCTCTTGGGACTCTATCATATTCTTTTTCCAAATCTATAAAGATCATGTGCAAATCCTTTTTCATATCTATATATTTTTCCATCGATCTTCGTAAGAGATGGATTGAAGCAAAAAATACAAAATGGAGAAAATGGTAGAGCCTCGCAGACTCTCAGCATATCACCAATTTGGATGTTTGGTGGAGGAACAATTGCCCCCAAAGATGATGAGGTTATTTGTCTTCTGCCAACTAAAACAATATCAACGCCAAATTCATCGGTAGCCAATGGCGTAGCCACCCACAAGGTTAAGGTGGGTTGTAGCCCAGGGAGGTTTTCTGTAAGGGTAGTGTTATTCATGTACTTATTTTTACTTCTTACACGCTTCTCTTAATTGTCGGTTTTTTAGATCGAATGAATTGAAAATGATCACTGACAAAATATTAATAAGGCTGTGTTGGAAGTAAAAATGGGTTTGTGAATAGATCTATTCTTTTGTAAACTCATGCTTATAGCCTACTCAATTTCAATACATATTATTATTTAATGTATATTTAGTATAGGAGAGGTAGTAAATAATAGTTTTATGCTAAAAATTATAAATTAGTTTTATCTCCAGTCCCCCTTTATTCTATTCTTTAAAGAAACCGACCATTTACCCTATGTAATTTAGCCTCTGTGCTTCTTACTCAAGAAAAGATTAATAAATTCTTTAAATACACAATTAAATCCCTATCTCCGCAATTCCTGACTTTCCGTTGCAATTTTTCAATGAATGTCACCTTTGGTACGTTCTTAATCTCTTTATTTACTTATTCTTGATTTAATTAGTAGGTTAATTATTTTTATGGTCCTTGAATTTATCGGTTAGGGTTATAATTTTGAGAATAGTTTATATTATATTGTTGTTCTTTTATATTGATTATTATATATTTTATATAAGCAAAAAAATAAACATATGATTTTATGGTACTATTTTCAACTAGCCCACCCAAGAAAAAAATCCTGGCTCCGCCCTTGTCGGTAGCAGAGAGATTCTAACATGTAATATCACTCGTTTATTAGTATTTGTGCCCTATGATGAGAGATACTAATAAGATGATCTCCGTCCGGTCGTGCCCAACAATTCCCCATCAGTCATATATTCTCAACAACCAAAAAAAAAAACATAGCCAGTTTGGATGAAGAGAGAGTTCCCTCGAAACAAATTCAATTATTTAAAATAATCAGAAAATTAAGATTAATGTAAATAACCCAATTCATCTAAAACAAGACCAAGCTCAAATGTAAATTCCGTCTTACCGCTACAATCCAACACAATCAGTCCTGTTCTCGCAAAACTGGCGGCTTCTTTGTTTCTAAACCTAAAATCTGAAACAACCACAAAGAGTTTTAAAAAGCATCTCCCATTAGGCCTCAGTCAATGGGAATTGACTACTATTTACATTCAATTGCCTTCTAACAAGCTTCTCAGCCGGCTGCGTGCTTCCTCCGAGAGGCTGCAGGTTCTCAACCTCGGGCGCTGGCGAGGGAACTCAACATGTTCTGGGGTAGAGAGGCGCACAACAATAACTGTGAGGTTATCTGATGTGTTCAGGCGCAGTGCTTCCTTGACGAGCTCTTTGTCACACTGTTGGGGGTCATCGTGCCTCCTCAGCCCATGCCGAACCCGACTCACAGCATATTGGCTTGAAATGACATCCCAGATCCCATCACAATCAATGATAAAAAAAACTCATTATATTCTGTTAACCTGCTGAACATCTGGCTCGGCAATGAGAGGCAATGAGGAACCCAATGGTAATTTTAAGCCCCAATCTCCAAGAACTCGAGTGACTGAGATAGAACCGTTAAGATATCCATCATCAATGTAACCACCCAACTGCTCAACTCGCATACGTTCCGGCAAGTAACTAGGTCTATGATCTTGAGACATGTCAACTGCTATTCCTTTCCTGCAAAGAACCGCTAGACAGTCACCAGCATTTGCAACCATTAAATGCCTTCCAAGTATAAGAGCAGTCAAAGCTGTTGTTCCACACGAACTTCTCACACTTTGTTCATCAGCCAAGGCATGGTCTGCCAGTAGAAATGCTTTCCTGTGGGAATTCTCCAACTCTCTGAAGAAAACAGCATCCATATCCATTCTCTGCGGTAAATCAGCATCTTCAAAGAATAGTCTCATGGCATTCCTTTTGATATAAGCAGCTGCCTCAGGCCCTCCATGACCGTCAAAAACCGCATAAAATGCACTTGGAAAGGGACACTTGAAGCGAGGCCCCACATGGGCAGATTGATCATCGATCCGAATGTGTTCGTCATCCATGGAATCCCTTGATCCAGTGTCACTGTGGCTTCCTGAATGTATGTTCGGGACAAACTTGACTGCAGAAGACTCCATTACAGCATTATTAATTGAAGAGCAAGATACCGTTGTAAAAGAATCTAGTAAAAGCTAGCTTTAGTAAAAGTTGGTTAGTTGTTAGAATAGTTACCACTGTAACTATTTTCTTTACCTGTGTAAATCTAGGTATATATATACCTTAGTGTAACTAATTATAATTCAACCAACAAATGAAATCATTTCTCAGTATGTTATCTCTAGCCTAAGTCCACTGACTCCGATCCTCTTTGGCTATTTTCTTGCTTATTTTCCTACTTACCAAACACCATAGATTCCGTCTGCAAACCTTCAATCTTGTTCATCAATGGCAGCAAATTCTTCTAACTCTTCCTCTCCAGTGGCCGCACATGCTGCTTCTTCTCCGGTGATCGCGAATCCTTCTTCTTCTCAGCCTACTAATCTCAATTCTTCTCCGATGAACACAAACCCTAACTCCTCCTTTCAAGCTTCAATCAACTCCATCACGATCCAAAACATTGGGAGTATGATTCAAACAAAACTCAAGCGTCATAATTACCTTGTTTGGCGTTCTCTGTTCGAGCCGATCTTCCGCCGCTACAAGCTCATCGTCTCTGTGCAACTCAGAACCTGGTAAAAGAGAAAACAAGTAGGTGAGCGGACACATTCCATGCATATCAAAAGAACATAATCCTGGATATAGATTTTGGTATGCACACAAAGAAACAGGACATCCAACAAGCATAAAAAGTATGAATGAAGAAATCACCAAAAATGCAGAACTGACTGGTTTAGCATCATTAATACAAGATTTCACCCAAAAATTTCGTCTAACAGCGCTACAAGTGTAAAGGCTCATTCTTTTGCTCTAATTCTTTCATTGCAATTGATATTCAATTACGCTGTTGATTGTCTGTCAGAATTTCCCAAAATTAAGCAGCAAATCAAATTGTTATACAAAGAAAAACCCGATCACCCAATGACTAACCCATTAAACTTCCTGAAACTCCGGACTAACCCATTAAACAGAATTCCAGCATAGAGAAAACCATATAAGACAATCAATTTCGAAATCCTCATATATAAATTCTCACCCGATTTAATCGGGTTCATACAGACTCGAAATTCCACAAACAGCATAAATCTACCAAGTACACAAGTTTGATCAATTCCATTAAAAAAAAATGTACCAAATTAGAGTTCACATGGAATTTACTGTAAAGCTAAACCACCAAGGAATTAGAACTTATTCGGTCAAAAAAAAATTCACCAGAGTGTTGAATTCTAATCCAGTCTTGGGCCAAGTCCAGCCCATGCTGAAAAGGCAACACAAGCTAATTGATGGTGCATGCTTGAACATGCTAGACAATTCTAGCAATCTTTGTCGGAAAAAGTAGCTGGAAAATTCCAGCAATCTAAGTCGGTTATCCATCTAAATATCTAAGCTAAAGAATATACTAGAAGGTAGTGTATGGATATTGCAAAGCCTATGTCGGTGGCATGCATAATAAGTAGCTAGAATGATCTAGCAATGTCCAATGTCGGCAAACATGCCTATAAATAGGTGTGTGTGTGTGTGTGTGTATTGCTAAGTAACCAACCAACCAAGAGAGAGCAAGAAGTGAGAAAAGAGTGAAGAAGTGTAAGAGTGTTTGAGTGTTTCCTCTTTTATTAGTTTGTGAGTGAATAAAAAAAATTTGTGTAAAAAACTTTGAATGTTCTTTCTTTCTCTTGCCTATCAATTCCGTTGCATTACATCCTTCTTTGTGAGATAAACGTCTCCAAAGTAGTGAAGTCTTTTTAAGCCCCAACAAAGTGGTACCAGAGCTATGGCTAGCAACGATATGGCAGCCTTCCAAGTTCCAGTGCTCGACAATAACAACTTCGATAATTGGAGTATCAAAATGAAGGCCCTTTTGGGAGCACATGATGTATGGGAAGTCGTGGAGAAATGCTACACTGAGCCAGAAGATGAAGCTACTCTGTCCCAAACCCAGAAGGAGAGTTTGAAAGATTCAAGAAAGAAAGACAAGAAGACTCTCTACCTCATCTACCAAGCATTAGATGACAATGGCTTTGAGAAGGTCTCGTGTGCAACCTCTGCCAAGCAAGCATGGGAGAAGCTTCAAACTTCTTACAAGGGAGCCGAACAAGTGAAAAAGGTTCGTCTTCAAGTATTAAGAGGTGAGTTCGAATCTCTACAAATGAAAGGGTCTGAATCAATCTCTGATTATTTCTCAAGAGTCTTAGCCGTTTCCAATCAATTAAAAAGAAACGGAGAAAAGTTAGACGATGTTAGAATTATGGAGAAGATACTACGCTCGTTGGACCCCAAGTTCGAGCACATTGTCGTGACGATTGAAGAAACTAAAAACTTGGAAGAAATTAGTATAGAGCAATTGATGGGTTCGCTACAAGCATATGAAGAGAAACATAAGAAAAGGCAAGGGAATGATGAACAGCTCCTCAAGATGCATGTTCAGCCAAAGAAGAAAGAAGAAAGCATCGATAACGAGATAAGCTAGTACGAAAGAAGTCGTGGTCGAGGACGCGGACGTGGACATGGACGTGGACGTGGTTGGAACTTCAACAACCATAGCAACTACGAAAGAGGAGGAAGCTCAACAAAAGGTCGTGGAAGAGGGCGCTCAAACTTGAGGTATGAAAAATCTCAAGTTCAATGCTACAATTGTCAAAAGTTTGGGCATTATGCTTGGGAATGTAGAGCTCCAAGCAACAGGCCTGATGAGAAGGTCAATTATGTGAAAGAAGAGAAAGAATATAATGGCGTTGTGCTACTAGCATGCAAGAACAATGATGGAGACCAAGACTATACTTGGTATCTTGACACCGGCGCTAGCAACCACATGTGCGGAAGAAGAAGCATGTTCATAGAGCTCAATGAATCGGTGAGTGGCAACGTTTCTTTTGGAGACGAATCCAAAATACCCGTCAAAGGAAAAGGTAACATCCTAATTCCCCTGAAAAATGGCGGTCACCAATTAATTTCAAATGTCTACTACGTGCCCAATATGAAAAGCAACATTTTGAGCTTGGGTCAACTCTTAGAAAAAGGTTATGATATTCACATGAAAAATTATAGCCTTTTTCTTAGAGATGAAAAAGGAAGATTAATTGCCAAGGTGCAAATGTCAAAAAATAGGATGTTTTCTATGAATATTCAAAATGATGTTGCAAAGCGTCTCAAGATATGTTTCCTGCCTTTGGCATCTTCGTTTTGGGCATCTTAACTTTGGGGGACTGGAGTTATTATCCAAGAAGAAGATAGTGAGAGGCTTACCGTGCATCAGTCACCCTGATCAAGTTTGCGAATGATGTTTACTTGGGAAACAGTTCAGGAAAAGCTTTCCAAAGGAGTCGACCACAAGAGCCCAGAAGCCATTCGAGCTTATTCACACCGATGTGTGAGGTCCAATAAAACCAAGCTTTTTGGGTAAAAATAATTATTTCCTTCTCTTCATCGATGATTTTTCAAGGAAAACCTGGGTATATTTCTTGAAGCAGAAATCAGAAGTCTTTGGAGCATTCAAGAAGTTCAAAGCCGCTGTAGAAAAAGAAAGTGGTTGCAAGATCAAAGCCATGAGATCTGATCGAGAAGGAGAATTCACTTCAAAGGAATTTCAAGAATTCTGTGAAGCCAATGGAATTCGTCGACCTTTGACAGTTCCAAGATCCCCTTAACAAAATGGTATGGCGGAAAGAAAAAATCGAACCATCCTCGACATGGCTCGAAGCATGCTCAAAAGTAAAAGATTGCCTAAAGAGTTGTGGGCAGAAGCTGTAGCATGTGCTGTCTACCTATCCAATCGGTCTCTAACAAGAAGTGTGTGGGGAAAGACTCTGCAAGAAGCATGGAGTGGAAGAAAGCCAGGTATCTCTTATCTAAGAGTTTTTGGAAGCATAACCCATGTACATGTACCAGACGAAAGGAGAACCAAACTCGACGACAAAAGTGAGAAGTTCATCTTCATCGGCTATGACTCAAATTCAAAAGGCTATAAGCTGTATAATCCAAACAATGGGAAGACGGTGATCAGTCGAGACGTGATGGTCGATGAAGAAGGAGAATGGGATTTTGGCTCTCATGCAAGTGATCTCAGCTTTTTTCCTCAGTTTGAAGAAGAGAATGAACAAGGGATGATGGAGCAAGCAAGAGAGGTTCAACAAGAATCCACTACTCCACCTGCTTCACCAACATCAACCAATCATGGTAATTCACCAGCATCAGCATCGTCAAGTGGGAGCCTCAATGAAAGAGAAGTACCACGCACAAGAAGTATACGAGATCTCTATGAGGTAGCTGAAAGACTTGATAATCCTACACTTTTCTGTCTCTTTGCTGATTGTGAACCAGTCGACTTCGAAGAAGCAGTGCAAGACACTAAGTGAAGGAAAGCAATGGATGAAGAAATCGAAGCAATCCAGAAAAATGATACTTGGGAACTCGCTATTCTTCCGAAAGGACACAAAGCCATCAGAGTCAAGTGGGTGTATAAGACAAAGAAGAATGCCAACGGAGAGGTCGAAAGATACAAGGTGAGATTAGTGGCGAATGGCTATTGTCAAATAGCCGGAATCGACTATGATGAGGTATTTGCACCCGTTGCTCAGTTGGAAACTATACGATTACTAATTTCTTTGGCAACTCAAAACAAATGGAAGATTCAACAAATGGATGTGAAGTCCGTTTTCCTAAATGGAGTCCTTGAAGAAGAAGTCTACATTCAGCAACCATCAGGCTATGAAATCAAAGGGCATGAAGACAAAGTTCTGAAGCTGAAAAAAAGCCCTTTATGGGTTAAAACAAGCACCACGAGCATGGAATAGTCGCATCGACAAGTACTTCCAAGAAAACAACTTCATCAAGTGCCCTCATGAACATGCTCTCTACGTCAAAGTCAAACATGAAGATATACTGATTGTGTGCTTATATGTGGATGATCTAATCTTCACTGGAAGTGATCCAAGCATGTATGAAGAGTTCAAGAGAGTGATGACCAAAGAATTCGAGATGACCGACATCGGGTTGATGGCATACTACCTAGGCATTGAAGTCAAGCAGAACGAAAAAGGTATTTTCATCTCCCAAGAAAGCTACACAAAGGAGATACTAAAAAAGTTCAAAATGGACGACTGCAAGCCCATAAGCACACCAGTGGAGTGCGGAGTCAAACTAACCAAGCATGACAAAGGAGAAAGCGTAGATCCAACATTTTTCAAAAGTCTAGTTGGAAGCTTGCGCTACTTGACATGCACAAGACCAGCCATTCTCTATGTTGTCGGATTAGTCAGTCGCTACATGGAGAATCCCACAACTACACATTTGAAGACAACCAAAAGAATTCTTCGATACCTTAAAGGTACTGTTAACTTTGGCTTGTTCTATTCAAGTTCTGATAACTACAAACTTGCTGGATATAGCGACAGTGATTGGGCAGGAGATTCCGATGATAGAAAAAGCACTACTGGATTTGTGTTCTTCATGGGAGACACTGCACTCACATGGATGTTAAAGAAGCAACCGATAGTCACTCTCTACCTGCGAAGCTGAATACGTAGCTGCTACCGCATGCGTCTGCCATGCAATTTGGCTGAGAAACTTGCTAAAAGAATTAAGCATGCCACAAGAAGAGCCAACAGAGATCTATGTCGACAACAAGTCTGCAATAGCTCTAGCAAAAAATCCAGTATTTCATGACAGGAGCAAGCACATAGATACCCGTTATCACTACATAAGAGAGTGCATTGCAAGAAAGGATGTGCAAGTGGAATATGTGAAGTCTCAAGACCAAGTCGCTGACATATTCACCAAGCCACTCAAACAAGAAGACTTTATTAGATTGAGAAATTCAATCGGCGTCACAAGACAAGATTAAAGGGGTATGTTGAATTCTAATCCAGTCTTGGGCCGAGTCCAGCCCATGCTGAAAAGGCAACATAAGCTAATTGATGGTGCATGCTTGAACATGCTAGACAATTCTAGCAATCTTTGTCAGCAAAAGTAGCTGGAAAATTCCAGCAATCTAAGTCGGTTATCCACCTAAATATCTAAGCTAAAGAATATACTAGAAGGTAGTGTATGGATATTGCAAAGCCTATGTCAGTGGCATGCATAATAAGTAGCTAGAATGATCTAGCAATGTCCAATGTCGGCAAACATGCCTATAAATAGGTGTGTGTGTGTGTGTGTGTGTGTGTGTGTGTGTGTGTATTGCTAAGTAACCAACCAACCAAGAGAGAGCAAGAAGTGAGAGAAGAGTGAAGAAGTGTAAGAGTGTTTGAGTGTTTCCTCTTGTATTAGTTTGTGAGTGAATAAAAAAAAATTTGTGTAAAAAAATTTGAGTGTTCTTTCTTTCTCTTGCCTATCAATTCCGCTGCATTACATCCTTCTTTGTGAGATAAACGTCTCCAAAGTAGTGAAGTCTTTTTAAGCCCCAACACAAAGTTCATCAGGAAAAGGTATTCCAGGCTAATGAAAAACACCATCAAATCTCAAAAAAATAAAGGAAATGAATAACCCTCGGAAGCAGTTAATTCATTAGACCCTGACTGAACCCACAAAAATTCAAGAACATTATGTACGTAATAGAATTCCCAAAACACAACTATCTCGAGCAGAAGAATCAAATCCCACAAAAAAAACCCAATTAAAAGCAAAACAAGAGAACAAATCCCACACAAAAGAAAGGCCAATTAAAAAATAAGAAAAACTAATGAAAATGACTTGAAAATTTTAAGTTTTAATCAAAATGACAAAAATGTGTTGTAAGTGAATAATACTACGAGTGATTTTTTTGAGAAAAAAATGTCTTTTTCGTTAAGTGATCATCATTAAGATTCCCTAAAAAAATACCCTGAAATCAGCAACTAATTCACTAATTCTTTATACGAAGTCAAACGGAGCTAATAGAACATACCGATTCGAGGCGAGAAATCTCAGTGGAAATCGTCTCGGCGACGAGAACCTCGTTGAAGCTCGGAGAGGAAAGCGAGGACTCCGCCACGTCGATCTGAAGGTTCTCTCTCATCTCCGCCACTCATCTATCTCTCCTCTCCGAACTCAGAGTTGAGAGAATTCACTATAGTGGGTTTCTACGGAGGTTGTGAGGCAATGAAAGTTTAGTTTTTTTATATTTGTTTGTCCATTGACTGGATCGAAACAATTAGACTGTATAAGTTAGGGCTTAGTGCTTCAAACTGGGGTAACATCCTTGTTTGGTAGATTTGTTAGTTTAGTGTTATTCATCTGAGGATCATATACTTAATGTTTAATCTCGTTTGTGTTCTACAATGCGAAATTAGTATGCAGGGCCTAGTAAGTTCTTACAGGAGTATCACCGTTTGTTAGATTTGTTGTTTTAGTTTAATACATCTGAGCATCGTATACAATTTTCAATCTCATCAGTGTTATACAATGCCACAATTTGCCTCTATGCAAATGAATCCATTGGTGTTCGAAAGTATTTAGTTTCAGAATATTTTGGAGCTTTGAATCATCTAGTATTCAAGATGATGACTACTTTTTATTTTTAGAAGCTTTTCTTTGTAATCATATAGATTATAATTAAAGACTTGCTTGAATGTAGTAGAAAAATATCGTTCGTAAACTATTATTTCAATTATGTACCTATAACGGTGTTTAATTGTTAGAAAACGAAAATTATGATAAATTTTTCTTTTGTAATTTTTAAGTTGTTAAAAAAAAAAACATGTAGACGGGTGAAAAAAAAAAGTAAATGGGTAAAAAAAAGGATAAACGGGGTTCAAAAACGGATAAATGGGTAACAGTTATGAGTATGGTTAACCGTTTATAAACGGCTAAGGTATGGGTAAAACCGTTTATGCAATTACCCAACGGGTAAACGGTTATGCGGGTATGAGTATAAACGGTTATGAGTAAATAACCGCAGTTACCCGTCTACCATAACCGTTGCTCATCCCTAGCGACTGTACGTTCACATTTCTCTCTATTTCCCTCGATTTCCTTTCAGGGGTTTGATCAAATTTTGCTAATTTGTTATAATTTTCCATCTTTCGTTTCTACAGGCCCTTTCAGCCAAAGGGTTCTTCTGACCTTGGAGGAGAAGAAAGTGCCCTACAAATTGCACTTAATCAATCTCAGCGACAAACCCAGTGGTATTTTACTTTGTTTTGAATTTTTGATCCCGAAAATACATGCAGGCATAGATGGAAATATGTGATTTTTGTACTTTTAATGGATTTTGATGTGATTGTTTAGAGTGTCTGAGGAATTGGGTTTGGGGTTTTTGTTGGTGATTTGTAGGTTTACGGAAGTGAATCCAGAGGAGAAGGTGCCTATGGTGAAGTTTGATGACAAATGGGTGGCGGATTCTGATGTCATTGTTGGGATCATTGAGGAAAAGTACCATGAGCCTTCTCTCAAAACTCCTCCTGAATTTGCTTGTGTATGATCTCTCTCTCTCTCTCTCTCTCTCTCTCTCTCTCTCTCTCTCTCTCTCTCTCTCTCTCTCATATTGTTGTTTGGAGCCCGTTTAGAAAACTGTTTCTCTAGGAAACACTTTTGCTAAAAGTGCTTTTATTATGAACAGGTTTATATTTTTATTAAAAACAAACTGAGAAACACTTGGAAGTGCTTCCTAAAGTTCTCCATAACCTAGAAGCATGCGAAGTTAAAAAAATTCGATTTTTTCATTTGAGCCTTTTCTGTAAGAATATTTTTTTAATACTGTGAAAGTTGTGTTTTCTATAGTGTGAAAGTTGAATCTGTAGGAATTTTTTAAATAAAAAAAATTATGGTGTCTTTGCTGTGCTAGGTGAAGAAATTTGTAAAATAGTTGTAGTTTTCTGAAAAAGTTGCGATTTTTAGTAATATTTTCTCAATTGAAAGACTGGAAAATAATTGAAATAATGTTCCTTTTTTTTTTCAAACTTCTCCCAAGTTTTTTTTTTCTTGGATTTAAAAGTATATTTTCCTGATTGGTTAGAATGGTTATTCATCTCTCCAATTGGTTCTTTTTTATTCTCACAAACTTTTTTGTCTAATATTATTTGTTTCATTTTTTTTTTTTTTTTTGTGACTTACTGCAGAAGTTAGAACAAGCTTTTCACATAACATGAATGATGAGTACGAGGTTGGGAGATGGTGGTGAGGAAAGTGGGAAAGTATGACTTTGGGAGGACGATCAGCGAAGGGACCTTCGCCAAGGTGAAGTATCCAAACATGAATCGCAACAGTTAGCTTTGATTCATGTTCTAATTAAACAAATTGTTATGTTGTCGGTTTTAACTTGAATTATCTTTTAATATTAACATTAACAAACATAGTAAAAGCAAGAATGTTTATTAAAACAATGAACTTTAGTAGTACTGAAAATTGGAAGATATGTTTTCGATTAATTTGGTTTTGCTTTCTATCTCCGCAGCACTGCCCATTTTCCACCCTAATCGCATCTCAAATTCTTCCACTTTTGAACACGACATGTCCGGCTTGTTAACAAACCAACTGTATGGAAGAAACTTAGAGAAGAAGATATCGAACACAGAGAAATAGAGAGAGAAAGTATAGAGGGAAAAATAATCTTGTTATATTTTTTCTTATGTTTTTGATAACACTAACTCTTATAAATACAACACACCTTATGACTACCATTCACAACCCCAATACAATTATGACACATGGCATAGCTATATCCTAACATTCCCCCTCAAGCTTATGCTGGGAAGAACCAAGCATAAGATTGTTACAATGTGAGCTAAACAGAGGATAACATAAGCCCTTGGTAAAGATGTCAGCATGCTGCTCGGAGGATGCAACAAACTGCAAGACAATGGATCCTTGTTGAACACGTTCTCGAACAAAATGGCAATCGATTTCAATGTGTTTAGCTTTAAAATGTAAGACCGGATTGGTTGCCAGTGCCATAGCAGAAATATTGTCACAGTGGAGAAGAGGAACGGCTGAACAGGGAAGATGCAAGTCCTTTAGTATTTGTTGTAGCCAAACCACCTCAGCAGTTGTTGTCGCCATAGCACGATACTCAGCCTCGGTAGATGAACGACTAACCGTGTGCTGCTTCTTAGAACTCCAAGATACAGGATTATTGCCGAGGAATACTACAAAACCTGTGGTGGATCTCCTATCATTAGGATCCCCAGCCCAATCAGCATCCGAATATGCTTTAAGATCCATATTTCCTGGTTGAAAACACAAGCCAAGAGTCATGGACCCTCGAAGGTACCGCAAGATCCGTTTAACAGCAATGAAATGACTGTCCAGAGATGAGTGCATGAATTGACAAACTTGATTGACGGAGTATGCAATATCCGGTCGTGTAAACGTCAAATATTGGAGAGCACCAACAATGCTGCGATAGAGACCCGGATCAGGAAAATGAGGACTACCATGATTCAGTAGCTTCTGATTGGGATGACACAGAGTTGTACACGGTTTGCAATCCAGCATGTTTGTCTTAGTAAGAAGATCAGTAACATACTTGGTTTGATGCACCAGGAAACCTGTAGGTCGATAATCAATCTGAAGACCAAGGAAATAGTGTAAAATCCCGAGGTCCATCATATCAAATTCAGTTGTTAACTGATCTATGACAACTTGAACTTGAGCATCACAATCACCACTGAGAATTATATCGTCCACATATAATAACAGGACAACAATAGACTGACCATTCTGCTTCACATATAACAATGGATCAGCATATGAGGATTTAAAACCCAAGGTAACAAGAAACCTGGAAAATCGATCATTCCAAGCTCGAGGAGCTTGTTTAAGACCATAGAGAGACCGGTCCAATTTGCACACAAACTCAGGATGAGCAGGATCAATGAAGCCTTGTGGCTGAGACATATACACCTCTTCATCAAGAAAACCATGAAGAAAGGCATTCTTGACATCTAACTGTTTTAATTTCCAACGCTTTGTAGTAGCTAGGGACAACAGAAGTCTCACTGTGGTTGGCTTGACGACAGGACTGAAAGTTTCATGATAGTCAAGACCGGCTTCTTGGGAAAAACCCTTGGCCACCAACATGGCCTTGTATCTAGCAACCGAACCATCCGGATTACTTTTGATCTTATATATCCATTTACAACCAACCAAGTTCTTGTTAGGTGGAAGAGGAACTAATCTTCAGGTTTGCTACTTCACAAGAGCAGCCATTTCATCCTCCATAGCTTGTCTCCACTCAGAGGACTTAACAGCAACCTTGAAAGACTGTGGCTCAGTGATAGAAGAAGATTGGACCTGAGCAAGAAGAGCCTTCTTTTTTAAGATACCAGATTTCGACCTGGTTTGCATTGGATGTGTATTGATTTGAGACACTGGAACATGATGCAGTGCTTGAACTTGAGAAGTAGTAACATCAGGATTAATATCAGCATGCTCCACAGACTGTGGAACTGTGGCCTCAGTAGGTAAGCAATGAGAAGAGACAAGATCACCAGGTATGGAGGAAGATGACTGAGTAACAGAAGGAGAATCTGTGGTATGGGAAGAAGAAGAAGGAAATGGACTATGGGGAAAAGGAATGGAAATAACAGGTGGATGTTGAAATGTATTGTATAATCGACGGTGTCAATGATGGTGAACTAGAAACAAAACCTGGTAAGCTAGGGAATGTATCTTCATCAAAAACAACATGCCTAGAGACAATTAGTTTATGGTCTCGGATAGCATAGCAAATATATCCTTTGTACTGAGATGCATAACCCAAAAATATGCACTATGTAGTTTTTGGTTCCAGCTCGTTGTGTCTATAGGGTTTTAAAGTAGGGTAACATGCACAACCAAAGACTCTTAAATGATCAAGCCTAGGTGGAGAGTGATATAACTTTTCGAATGGGGAATGCATATGTAAAACAGGTGTAGGCATTCGATTGATAAGAAAGGTGGCTGTGGCACAAGCATGAAACCAAAACTGTGAAGGAATAGAGGCTTTTTGTAGTAAAGTAAGGGCAGTTTCAACTATGTGACGATTTTTTCTCTCAACCAACCCATTTTGTTCAGGTGTATAGGGACAAGACTTTTGAAACATAGATCCAACAAACTCTCCACCACCATCACTTTGTAAGACTTTAATAGTCACAGAAAATGAATTTTGAATGAAAGCATGAAACTGAATAAAGGTTTCACAAACTGCAGCTTTATTCATGATTGGAAAAATCCATGTATATCTTGTACATTCATCAATGAAAGACACATAGTACCTATAACCCTCTATAGACATGATAGGTGCAGGGCCCCACACATCGGTGTGAATGACTTCAAATGGTACATTAGACTTAGATGCTGCTAATGGGAATGGTAATTTGGTAAACTTGCCTTGTAAGCAAGAGGCACATGGTTGAGGAACAGAATGACAACGAAAAGAAATATTTGCCTTACTAAGAGCAGACTGAACTACAGAATTGGTTGGATGACCCAATCTGCAATGCCACAGGGTAGTATTAACTTTCTGGCCAAGATAAGCAGCAGGTTTGATCTGTGGTTATTTGAGCAAAGGAAGTGGGTAAACAGCATTGTTACTCAGTCCTTGAAAGAGAACCTTGTTGGTGACCTTGTATTGTATACACACAGAAAACTCATCAACAATGCATCGACAATTATTGTCCTTACATAATTGATGCATGGAAAGTAAATGTTGAGATAATTGGGGAACATGAAGCACTGTTTTTAACTGAAGTTTATGAGAAGGAGTAATAAGAGAAGACTGTCCAATATGTGAAATGTGTAAACCTTCATCATTAGCCCCAGTTACAGTTTCAGTGGACGGATATGGGGTAGAAGCTTGTAGACAGGATAGATCAGAGGTCATATGATTGGTACCACCAGAATCAAGCAGTCAATACTCTTGCGGAGGTGCAGAAGGGGAGAAGTTGGTTCGTGCAGTGAAAGCAACAGGAGATGAAGCTTGTTGGTGTGACACGTTATGATGCTGCACATATGGTGGATGCATTTGTTGAACCGGAACATGAGCTTGAAATTGTTGAGACTGATATTGTGGAACAGGAGCAAGAGCCTGAAACTGGTGAGACTGATACATAGGCTGAGACATGGGCATAGTAGAAGTACCCCTGTCGAAACATGTAGCTGCAGTGTGACCAACCCTATTGCAGATTTGGCACCCACGCTGAAAACAATGGAGTGCAGAGTGTCCCTTTTTATCACAAATTTGACAGAGCAACATAGGATTATAAGGTTGTGGAGTTTGAAAACTAGATTGTGGTTGAGACGGAGCATTGATTTGAACAGACCCCTGATAACCTGAGTGAAATTTCTTCCCTTTTCCTTTGTACTTGAAATTTTGCCCCCTGAAATTATTATAAGTGCCAGATCCTGCTTGGGACACAAATGCATAAGGACCATGTAGAGCTTGAAGAGAGTGACTGAAACTGTGGAAGTTGAGGTAGTTGATGTACCGGAGCCATGTTAGGCATTGGAGCTAGTTGGGGCATTTGAGGAACCTGACAAAATGATGAGCCAGTATCATAGTTACCCGCACTAGATTTGGTACCAGATGACCCTCCAAACTCATGTATGGAACCTGACCTATTAGCATACATTGCAGCCATTAAAGGTTGTTTGAGACTTTCTTCAAGTGTTGATTCTTCTGCCTTCAACTGAGACCTAAGCTCCTGCAGGGACACAAGATTTTCTCTTCCTCGAATAACAGCCTTAGGGCTGGTTTGGTATTGCTGTGCTTTGAAAAAAAGCTGCTGTGAGAATAAGCGGCTGTGCTGTGAGAATAAGCGGCTGTGAAATAAAGCCAGTAGAGTGTTTGGTAAACTTTTTTGTGAAAGTGCTTTTGGAAAAAAAATCAGGATGATAGTGTGTCTTTTCATTAAAGGAGCACTGTAGCTCCGTGTGCTTTGAAAAAACTGGCTTTTTTTCAAAGCAGCAAATAGCAGCTTCAGCTTTTCCTTTGATTTTCAGCTTATTCTCACAGCAGCTTCCAAAATAAGCCCTTTTTTTCAGTTTACCAAACACAAAAATGACCCTCAGCTTTTTTTCACAATGGCTTTTTTTAAAATCACCTCAATCCCAAACGGGGCCTTAATAGTGTTGTATTCAGTCGGTAAGCCTCTGAGAGCAACTATGACAATATCTTCATCAGGAATAGCAACACCCACTGCAGCTAACTGGTCTCTACAATCTTTGATGCGTTGAAGATAAAGATCAATCGATTCAGCCCCTTTCTTAATATTCTGGAGATCAATTTTCATCTGGACAATACTTGTTCTAGTCATACTCGAGAACCTCTCTTTCAAGTTAAGCCACATTTCCTTGGAGCTTTGACACCCAATGACACTCGATAGGGCAGCAGGAGACAAAGTATCAGTGATAAGAGTCATCAAGGCTTTATCATGAATCTTCCAAACTTTATAGGCATCAGTGATAACAGTACAATTAATCACAGGGCCATCTTCAATAGTCATATATTTCTCAGGACAGGGGATAGAGCCATCAAGAAATCCCATAATACCATTACCTTCTAACAGTAAATTGAGTTGAAAATTCCATGTGATATAGTTAGAATCATCTAACTTGACTGTTACTGTATTACCAACACTTGGTATTAGGGAAGAAATAGGAGACTGTGTAAGAGCTAATTGGGTTGTGGTCACCATGTTTAATCAAGAAACAATAATCGGTACACCAATATAGAAGTAATCAAGTACTGATTTAATCATCACACAACAATTCGTGCGTCAATCAGAAGTAATCAAGAACCAACAATTAACAGAAATCTCCAACCCCAATACAATTCAGAAGAGCAACAAGAAATTCAATAAAACCACCACACGAATCAGAACAAGACGATAAGGAATTCGACCAATACCTCCAGCCAAGACGACGATCAACAACAGCAACATCTGCACGAAGAGCAACCGACTTCGATCAACCCAGGCAAGAAAACTCCAAAATTCTAGGGTTGCAAAAACCAAGATTCACCAGAGACCACAAAACAACGACCAATCGACTTCCGGCGAACAAGCGAAAACCACCGGAGCAAAAACGACGAGACGCGGAAGCACCAGGATCACCAGGCGACGGCGTCAGCCATTGCCAGCGATGATACCATGTTAACAAACCAACTGTATGGAAGAAACTTAGAGAAGAAGATATCGAACACAGAGAAATAGAGAGAGAAAGTAGAGAGGGAAAAATAATCTTGTTATATTTTTTCTTATGTTTTTTATAACACTCAACTCTTATAAATACAACACACCTTATGACTACCATTCACAACCCCAATACAATTATGACACATGGCATAGCTATATCCTAACACGGCTAAGGTCAATAGCTTCATTCATACCAGTTTACCTAAAGATAATTTTTATCAGTGATGGGTTTTTAAATGGAGCTTCATTGTGTTAGGATTTTGTTGAATTCAATCTGATTTAAGGGTCCTTTTCGTTGGTTTTGAAGAAACCAAATTAAATGTGCCTTTGGATCTTTCTATGTCATGCTTATGTTCTCCTTTATTGGGAGAGAGATTTAGTGTTTTAAATTGGTTCCATTATCTTATATTTGGCCTTTTTGTTGGTTCGGAAAAACCAAATGGCATGTGGATTTATGTCTTTCTAAATCATGCTTATGTTCTCCTGGTGGAACTTTTGTAGAATAAAAACCAACTTCATTTTGGTCATAAATGATATAGCCAATGTCAGTGGTTTGTAATCTTGATTCGGCTGGTAATATTAATTCTATTTGTATGTTTTGTTTTATCAGGATGTCAATGTTCTTTGCAGATGCAAATTCTCCTGATCTTATGCGTTTTTTTTTTGCCAATATGTGGTGTGCAGTAGTACTTTTTTGTTTTCCTTCATTGCGGTTAATGTTTCGAAGTTTTGCTTCATTGCGGTTAATGCTTCATTGGTGTGATCAGTGACAATGATACAATACAAATAGGGATTTTAAGGAAACGACAAATATCCCTTATTTTTCTTCTCTTATATACCTATGTTTTAATTTTATCGATTAATTTTTGTTTGACGTGTTTAATTCAATAGTCAAAGATAAAAAGAGGTGTGTAGCTTAAATTAGTCTTTTTTCATGATAGGTTTAATTACTTGAAATCGAAGGTGTCGTAAATCGGTATAAAAGGATGAGGATGTGAAGGATGCGATGAACAACCTTAAGCAACCAGTCCGCCAATTGCATACTTAATGGTTTAGGTTTATCATACCCAAAATTAAAGTAGGATTCACTTATTTGTTCATTTTTTAAATGTTAATTACCGCATGATGTGATATGAAATAAAAAGATACTTATCCTTTCGTAAGTCTTAGCTGAGTTTTGGTTTTTGTAAGGGCATGTACTTATGTAGACTCTTGTGCCATTTAAGTTAACATTTAGGAAAAACACATATTTTCCCATTTAAATAATATCACAAACGTAAAATCCCAATTTCACCTTGTATTATGGATACATGGAAACCACATTCTCATCTAATTTACACGCCAATTTGCAAAGCGGACAAGAGCCCGTTTGGAAGTATCGGCGCGTAAATAGAGAAAAAAATAAGAAAAACTAATGAATGACTTGAAAACTTTGAATTTTAACGATAAGGACAAAATAAAAGGTAAAGTGAATAGTACAAGAATTGACTTTTTAGTTAAAAATATGATTTTTCGTTTAAGTAAACAGTACTAGGAGTTTTTCGTTAAAGTTCCTAAAAAAAATAACGTCAAGAGATGGAAGGTGAAAACTTAAACCATGGCGCATCTCTAAGAGCAGTTCCGACATTCCGCAGCTTTACCCACAACTCACAGTGGTGCTACTGAAATAACTTCCGAAAACCCCATCTGTGAACAGCTTCATAATAGTATGGTCGTCTGCAAACCAAAACTCTAAAAGTTGATCATAAAAGAAATTTAAAATTTAAAATTTACAGAAGTTCAGGGAAAATATTTATGGAAGGAGATATTGGCAGTTCAATTTGAAGAAACTGCTTTACATTGAACGTGTTGCAATTTTTTCAGTTTCCATCTTTTGAGGGATTCACCACGATCCCTATGAGCGGTAGGTCTCGGGTTCGAGACTTGGGAGCAGTCTCTCCATAAATGGGGGTAAGGCTAGCCGACATTCACCTCTCCCAGGCCCTGCGTAAAGCGGGAGCCTTGTGCATTGGGTACGACCTTTATACGGGTGTGGGGGTAGAAGTACTTTGGGGAAGAGTAAAATATTGGGCAGCCCTATGGGCTTCAGTCTCAAATGATTTTAATAATTACTCTCTTTCTCAATTACTGTGGGATTTGTTAGCAGCAGTAAAGTGAGTTAGGTCTAGCTATTGTTGCTGTAGCCAAATCCTATTGAGAGTTTTTCTTGTTTCTTGTAAATGGGAGATTTCTTATCCACTTCAGTGTATTTCTCTTTTCTTTTATAAAATGTTTGTTTCTTCTCAAAAACAACAGCATGAATGAAAGAAAACTTTCTAACCTTAAACAATCCATGCTGAACATCAAAGGCTGCCCGAGTAATGTTCTCCATGAAGTCTTTGAAAATCCCGCCACCATCAATTCCACCCTCCTCAACCCCAAATTCATTTACAAACGTTACACGAATCTGCAAATAGACAGGTCAAGGTGGTAAGGCGGTTATTGTGGTATTGGATAAGAAGAGGAGAGGATAAGTGCTTGCAAAAAATAGGCGGACAATCACTTCTCCGAAAATTCAGTGCCTATTTGACCCCAAAAAGCAATCAGCAAAACATTACAAAGTAACTATTTTTGGTTTGGTAGCAACCATAGCATTCATAGTATTGTCAAACACACTCCCAACCACAACCTTCATCAATTGAATGTATACAAACAAAAACATATGCATTACCGGTCCCCGAAGATCATCTTCAGACAGCGCACTCATTTGGTCATAAGCATCTTCCAAGATACGATCCCTCCGTATTCTGAATCGGTTTCTGGTAAATACAGAATTAGACTCATGTCTTTGTCTAGCTGCTGCCAACTGTGACTGACAAAGTGGTTTGAATAAACTGATTAATTTTTTTTCAACATGATAAGACTTAAGCGCATAAAGATCGGCATATCGTTTTTTCCTCTAACAACTTAAATACTTACAGCGAATATTTTAACTCTGCTTGGGAGCAGCCTCTCCATAAATGGGGGTAAGGCTAGCCGACATTCACCTCTCCCAGACCCTGCGTAAAGCGGGAGAGCCTTGTGCACTGGGTACGACCTTTTTTTTGTGAATGGTACCAGGAAGGGAGCGTGCTTCATGATGTCATTTGCTCGGGTATTTTCTATTATGGCCTGAAAAATAAAGACATTAAAACCAGTGCTAGCAAGATCTTGGTCCTAGGAAATGTTTACCTGTGTAATAAAGAACTCATTGACACCATCAGCATGAAAGTCACTGGGGGATGTGAATTCTCGTCTATTGTTCCAATCTTGCAACTGCACACAACAAAATTGGAAAAAACAAAATGTGTAAGATTTCCTGTTCATTGTATGGGGGGGGGGCATATCTCTACAAAGAGAACCAAAAATACACAACCTGCAAAGGGAGAGGGCAAACACAAAATGCACAACAAGAAGGGTATATCCTTTTCCAAAGAAAACAGACGCAACACATATAGCTTGTTAATACCTGGGAGAGGAGTTCAGAAGCTACAATGCTAACTCTATGTTGAATCAACTCCACAGGGTGCTTCTTAGAAGAGGTGGTTGTGACAGGTTTCGAAGAATTACTGGGAGCCGTAGGATTCACCCAAAGAAGTTGCCATAGGGCCTGCAGAAGAAAGAAAGTCCAGATAATGCATCTATTCATTTGAAATTACAGAGTAAACATCACAAATCAACACTACATGCAGAATTAGCAATCGATACAGTTTTGTACATCTTGTTTGTCATACACAGGAAACAACTGATTAGTCTTACAGACTACATTTAACCAAAGGACAACCACATGTCATTTTCTACAATGAACATCATTATTTTGATAATTTTACTACAGAATTACCTGTCTGAGTATGATAACTAGGTATCTGATATCCTTCAATGATAGTGGCTTCTCCTGCTCTCATAGAACTCCTCATTATCAACTACTGTAAGCATGTGCCTGATCCATAACAAAAGGGAAACAGACGAATCACAGGTAATCCCACCTCAAGCTGCTACACAATATACTCTAGGATCAACCCAGAATACATAAAACTAACTTCACACCACTAAAATATATATACACAAGATCCAAGCAAAACCATTACTTGTACACAGGACAGAATACAGCCAAAGCTAATAGCCAGCCAGGTGCATCTCCGGGCAGCAGATATGCCAACTGCTCAGACACTGACTGCCATTTCTGGTTTTCATGGCACCGTTTCATAAAATTCCAAAGCACCGGAACAAGTTCCGTTCTATAAGCTAGTATGGTCATGATTCCCTCCAGAGGTAAGGTGTTTAAACTAACATGTAGAAAAGCACAAGCCGCACCAACAGCTGACACCTCTTTATCGTCCGGTCTGTGGTGCAAGCCACTGGAAAGTGAAATCCCTCCAAACAAAACATTTGTCTGCTCAAAGCATTAAACAACAACTCTTGGTTAGAGTTTAGCGGTAAAGACCAATTTGCTTAACATAATTGTACTTGCATGGAAAATAGAAGTACATAATATCAAGATGGCTTACTAATTGCAGAAGAAAGCGCGGATCTATCACTTGTACATATATATAATGTATATAATGTATGCATGTGTATGAGTGAGCACAACGAGAAACTTTACATACATATGAGATTAAATTATGCATTGTCAAAAACCTATCACTTGTACTAAGTTAATCTTCCAATTTTCACAATAGTAGATCTGTTGCTAAAATTGAACATAAGATCTCCCTGATTTTTTAGCACATAAATTTATGCAACAACTTGAACAAAACATGCTAAACAATCAACATGTTGCCATTTCTAATTCTGATAGCAGTCCGGTATTTACCATTTGAAATGAGCAATCAGTTTGAGACAGAGCGACCCCAGAAGATTCCAATATATTTCCAATTAGGCAGGCATAACTGGGTAACTCAACTGATGCATCTTTCGGAAGTACAGCAGCATGATTTTTCACACAGAGTGACATCTGATTAATGTAATGCTAGCTCAGCCCTCGTCTTGCAAAAACCTAAATGAAAGAGATTACCTTAATTGCAGAATGGTATATTCCCAGGAATTCTTTCTTAATACAGAAAAGGGAAAGAACAAAAAAAAAAAAAAAAAAAAAAAAAAAACGATTCAAAAGACATAGGTACCAAGTCATTCAAGTTTACCTCTCCTAAGTAGGGGAATAGCTTCCATACACATGGAACCGTAAGAATTTGAGATGAAAAACTCCAATGTGGATCGATGTTTGGGCACGTACATGGCTCCTGACCAATGTGAGAAATTACAACAGCAAGACTTCGCTCCAATGATGACACTCTGCCAATGCAGTTATGAGTCTTTATACTTTCCTGCACCCCATTACTCGTAGGTTTAGGAGATGAGTTCACTCACGTGTGAATGCCAACATAGAGTAAATGACAGATATCCAGAAACAGATCAAACTAGAAATAATATAGTATGGCATGGTAAGCAACAATATTAAGCAAACCCCACTTGAAATTCCCACGAGTGAATTTAGTATGTCTTTATACTTTCCTGCACCCCATTACTCGTAGGTTTAGGAGATGAGTTCACCAAGTAATTCCAAGCAAGCTCAAATAATATAGTATGGCATGGTAAGCAACAATATTAAGCAAACCCCACTTGAAATTCATGGGAAATAGATACATTATTAAATATTAAGTCCACTAACCACCAATACAAAATCGATATTAAAATGGATGGCTGGGAGCATACCGTCCAATTATGGGTCTTGCTTAATCTTCTTGAAAATATGCAACATCCGCCTGCAGTCGAATTGCCGATGTAGCAACACCTTTGGATCAAAGTTCAACCACCCATTTGATCAAAAAAGGGATCTGAAAAATATGAAAATTTAGAAATATTGTTGCCGACGCCATTCTTCTGCATTAATCGAAGAACAAACACAAACCCATTAATTCAAACACTACAAAACCCAAAGCATAGAGAGAGGGAGGGATAGAGAAAAACAGAAATGAAGGGAAAAAAACGAAAGTGTACTAAACTGATATCACTATTAAACAGACTGCAAAATATTATACAGCAATTGCTGATAGTGCCTAATTTTTAAATCAAAACTCAGCATCTCGTAGCAGACCAGGAAACTGCTTTTGCCTAATTTCACACAGATGTCCTAATTGTTTACAGAACCTAATTTAAAAAATAAAAAAAATAAAAACCAGTACCAGAAGAAGTAAAAAGTCTTGAGATACCACTTTCCTTATCTGATGAAGAAATCGAAAACCCCATCTGTAATAGTATGGTCGTCTGCAAACCAAAACTCTAAAAGTTGATCATAAAAGAAATTTAAAATTTAAAATTTACAGAAGTTCAGGGAAAATATTTATGGAAGGAGATATTGGCAGTTCAATTTGAAGAAACTGCTTTACATTGAACGTGTTGCAATTTTTTCAGTTTCCATCTTTTGAGTGATTCACCACGATCCCTATTTCATTAGTTTTTTTTTTTTTCATTTTTTCAATAAAAAGAATTTTAAGTTTCTGTTTTTTTTTTTTTTCAATAAAAAGAATTTTAAGTTTCCATCTTTTAAGTTTCTGTTTTTTGTTACAGTACTATCACTGCGTTTTATTTTGTACTAGCCTCTCCGCACTAACGTGCGTGCGAGAGGCATTTTTGCATCACGGGCGCTACGCGCCCCTAAAAGTGTATTATGTTAGTTTTTTTTTTTCATTGTAGTTGTCAAAATATATTTTAAATGTATTCTGCAAAGAGGAACTTTTTCTTTACCATGCACGTCCTAAAAAGTTGTCATGTTTTTCGTTTTCACTTTGTGTAAAGTAATGATTTAAATGTTACTCGTGCAATTGTCAAACAACATGAGATTTTGGATGCAAGTTCCTACCTAAAGTCCATGAACAATAGTAAGTAGATGTAAATAAAAAAAGAGTAGATGAAAACATTAAGTACTCGTAGCAAAATACAAAACAACTTAAATGTCAAAATATAAAACCTACATCACAATATGTACATTTTTCACAATACCCATAAAGTCTATATGTCACTGTTTCTTTTGGTATGAAAATTGACATCAATGCTGCAATTTCCACCCATTTGTTCCTGATTGACGCTTCAAATTTTCATTGCCAATCTACAAACAATAGTGAGAAAATTAAAAATCAAATAAAAAGAGTTAAATGATAAGTGAGAAATGCATATTGAAAGGTTAACGTTAATAAAGTTGTTACCTATTAGGAATCACCATAATTAGCTGGAATGAAGCAAGACTTCTTTGTATACTACATTCCGTGTAAATACACCTTGTTGGCCGACTATGGAGCCATTTTTTACTAACACAGTTGTGGTTGACTTTGAGACCCCCCTCGATAAAGCCACATATAATTGTCCATGACTGAAGACGTGATCTGGAAGGTAAACGCCTACATGTGGTATTGTCTGACCTTGAGATTTGTTTATAGTGATAGAGAAACTTAGTTTCACTAGAAACTGCTTTCTTGTAAGTTCAAATGGAAGCCCAGCAGTATCAGTACTTTTGAGAGGGATTCTTGGTAAGAAAACTCTGGATCCGGCAAATTGTCCAGTCAGAATTTCAGCATCAATAAGATTTCGGTAAGAACCACGACACAATAATCTTGTACCATTACACAATCCCAATTTCGGATCAATATTCCTTAAAAGCATGATTGGAGCACCTCTTTTCAGAGTTAACTTGTGCGGAGGCAAACCACCAAGTGAGATTGAATTCAAGAACTCTGGCTGATACAAATTCCTTTCATCATCCTCAACTGAATCAAATGAATACATTGTCTCTTCTAAACCTGGAAACATATTGATTATCTTTTCATTTACATCTTCATTTGTTATGCTTACCACTGCCCTTTCCACCATGTAGGTTGCATCATTCATATGATCCTGTAAGTCAGGGAAGATTTTGGCAATTAATTGATTAATGGAATGCTCACTCTCCCATGGTATCACCATGCATTCAGGTAGTTTTACCATATCATCCATAATAACATCTTCACTCCCATCACCAACACGAAGTAAAAATTCTGAAAATTCACGATCATTTATGGATCTCATGTTTTGTTTGAGTTTTAAAATCTTTACCTGTGACCAAAATGATGCCTTAACAACACTTGCTTGGATTAGTTCAGACTTGGTTCCTTTCCGGATAACAGGAAGAACTTGTCGGAAATCTCCCCCAAATATCATTATTTTCCCCCCAAATGGTAAGTCAATATCTATTAGGTCTCTGAACGTTCGATCGAGTGCTTCAAATGCATGACAATGCGTCATTGTTGCTTCATCCCAGATAATTGCCTTTGCCTTTTGTATTAGCTTTGCTAAATCAGATTGCTTACCAATCGAACACATCGATGATGCATCAAGACTAAGTGGTATCTTGAATTTAGAATGTGCTGTCCTCCCACCAGGCAATATCGTAGCTGCTATTCCAGATGATGTTGTTGCTAATACTATGTGCCCCAACCTTCTCAAGCTTGCTAACAATGCGCGATATAAGTAAGTTTTTCCAGTTCCACCGGGACCATCCACAAAAAAAAGTTGCATTCTCTGATCGTTGAACTGCACCCATTATTATGTTAAACGCACTTCTTTGGTCATCATTTAAACGTTCAATTGCATCAAGATCTTGTTGTGGAATACCTATGGATATCTCATCTTCAATGCATCTTGTCATTCCTGAACTTGATTCATTTCCTCTTGTCATTTGGGGCAAATCAAACTCGTTTGTACTCTTATTAAATTGAACCAAAAGTATGTTCAACTCACGCAAGAGTCTGTTGGTAGCAAGTGTGGGAGTTATGTTAGTCATGGAAACATAATCTTCTATCATGAATGGATAGAACTCATCCCATAACCCTCGAACACCAATGGGTGCACAATATACCAATATGGTGACGAATAATCTTCTTAAAGCCGACGGCATCTGAATTGTGGAGGCCTCTACCAAACATTGTCGAATACTGTCATCTCTTTCTAACAAACCTCGTTGTTCTGCTGCCTGCTTAAATGTTGGATGCAAAACCCCATTAACTGTTCTCAAGTTTGTGAAAGATGTTGGTCCTCTAACATGATTAAGAAGAATCCGAAGGTAAAAATTTTCACCTTCAGCAGGTGAAACTGCATATATTCGTCCAATAACCTTGTAACGATTCATTCTTTTAGACCACTTTCTTTGAGCTTGAATCCATCTGTAATGTGATGGGATTTCCATGTATAAGTACCGTCGCGCTTCTGCATCCACATGATTAAGTGTAAAAAATTCAGTTAACATTGTCTTTCTTGTACTCTCATCATGTAGAATATTTATTATGCTCTCGTCGGCACGAAACTGAACTTGGTGCATATTAGGAAGATGTATTTGCAATCGCTCAACAGATGGGTAAATTCGATTAATAATGAACTTGAATATCTTCCATAATGCCTCTGGTGCGCAAACCCATCTTGCATCCTGAAACTGCTTTATTTCATCGTATTCAGGGTCTGATTGCACTTCGACTGTCACTCTATCTGGGCCTTTGTAAACATACTTATATAAGTACTTGACACTTTTTATGCTTGCACAAATTTCAACATTGATGTGACAATCATACCTTAACAGCAACCATGGATTATATGGAATGACCCAACTATTATCAACCATTATGTTTCCTTGTCGATCAAGAGAGACGGGCAATCGATTTCCTCGCCTTTGATAAATTGGATACGAATCATTCCCTTGAACAGTGACTGGTGCAAATGGTTTGGGATACTTTCTTTTACAGCTCCCATTTTTCATACATGGAGATTGAGGATTATGAATCCCACACGAGCCATGAATCATATGCTTTAACACCACATTGTAAAGTTGAGGCTCTACGTCTTCGTTTGGTATTTCAGCTCTAACAATTCGGTCATACTCATCTGGGTTATTGATCTTATCATTTTCATCTAACACCACCAACATATGCACATGTGGAAGACCACGTTTCTGAAACTCAATAACGTATGTGTAGGCAACAATACTGCCCAGTACACCCTTTTCAATGATGTCTTCTTTTAGTTGCTCAAGTTTTGCACGAAATACTCTAGTGAGTAAGTCAGGACGATCTTGTGGAGTTTGTCCAGCGAGTAATTCACTTTTGATTTCTTCCCAACTTGGGTTACATGTCATGGTAATAAAAAGATCTGGCTTTCCGAATCTTTGAACCAAAGTCATTGCATCTTGATATCGTTGGTACATGTCACGTGGGCTTCCAACAAATGATGATGGTAAAATAATTCTACGCCCAATGCTACCTGAGAATTTTTTATTTTCAATTAACTGTATATATTGTACACACTTTGAACAAAGTTATATTTTTAAATAACGATAACTGAAATGATATATATACCTGCATTGTGTTGACCTGCATTTAAAGAGTCTTCAAGTCCTTTATAGAGATCCGCTCTAACTGTGGCTTGATTAGAACGCAGCCATCGAAGTTTTTGTGATTCAATTTTAATGTAGTTATCTACAGCATATTGTTGCAAGAGATGCCCACCTCGAAGCAAAAGTGATGATCCATTATGGCGTATCTGCAGAAGTAAATTTCATATATTGCTTTTAATATGGGAATTAAGTTTAAATATATATATTGGGAAGTAAATTATGTTATCGGTACAAACCTGTAACATATCATAATAGTCGCAACATGTTATTGCTCTTCCACCATCATCACGACTATTAACATCCCAACCATATGTACCGTAAGGTAGCAATAGTGGATACTGTAACGGATCATAAAATCCGACATAGTCTCGGACGTGAGAAAGTCTTCCACTAATTGTCTCCACCACGATATCCCTTCCATTTGCAATGGTGGCATCATCTCCATCTATTATAATTGCTGCAACTTGTGATGCTGATGGTAGACTATACTGACGCCGATCTATTGGTTGCTCTTTTAGGATCAACTTGCAATTCGGCAAATCTTGGCGTTGTCTGAGGCTTCGCAATGTATGAACAAAAGGATTATGGTTGTTCAACATCTGTTGTATCTTTTCAACCACACATCTATCTAAAACTTCACTTTCACACATTCGGTTTTCAACTTCATGCTCAGTGTCATATATATAAGCTTGTAAAAATCGCGGTCTATTTCCTTCATGTGGTAAAAGTCCACCAATCTTATGATATAATGCACCTTGAGCACGAAATGTGTAAATCCCACGGCCACCGATATTTATTCTTTCATCCACGTGTACTCCCATTTAAGTGAATGCAAATGCGTGATTGTAGGCTCGAATATTTTGCCTAAAGTGTCTACCCTCATGTGTTTGGTCAGAGAAAAGAGCAACCATTTCTGGTGGAGACTGTATTGGGGGTAAAGTAACTATTCCTTTCAAGCAACACATATTCAAAGTTTCTCGAGTAAACAATCGTGCGTAGCAGTACGGACATGTGGTTGGAGCAGGTAAGCGGCAACACAGGATACCCCGATTCTCATTATAATTTCTAGCACAATTGTGGTTTCTTCTTCCTCTACTTTGTCGCACATGACGATTGGTTCTAGTTGCATGTTCTTCTTCTGATATTTTTACATGAATATCCAACACTCAGTATAAGAATTTCCTTTGTAACTAATAATATATCTATATATAGATAGAATTATATACTAAGCTCACCATTATGGGGAAGAGTTAAGAGCATCCCATCATATATTTGTGACCTATTCGAATGTGGCAATTGTCCTATATGAGTACGCATTCTAGCAGAAGTTTGGTCATCACGATTTGTGATATCTGACAGAACCCTTGAACTCGCGCTTTCATGCTCAATTTGTTCTAATAAATAGACCACATTATAATATGATTAGTTAAAAATTTTGTGTTTAATATTTAATATATTTAGTTGTGAGTCTAATATTTCGTAACACTACCAGTAAAAATAACTACAACATTGAGATCAATATGAGAGTATCGAACAAAATAATAAAATGAGATTTCAATTCACAAAATAGTGTTCTAAGAAATTACCTAGTCTTTTAAGTGTGAAACAATTACAAATAAAGAAATTGACATAAATACCAGGAATTTGTTGTTGTATATTATTGGGGTCGACCTCAACATCATAGTTAGCCAACTGAACTCGTTCTTGTATATTACTGGGACCTACTTGTTGCATAGTTAAAAAAAAAATTATTTTATTTTTTATTTTTTATTTTTTAGTTTTTATTTTTTATTTTTTATTTTAGCATTAGTATGAGTTAAAGAAAAAAGAATATGAAATAAATACAAGGAATTTCTTGTTGTATGTTACTGGGGGATGTCATAGTATGATCATCGTTTAGAGTTGGAATTTGTTGTCTTTTTTCTTGTGCTATTAAACGTCGTCGAGCTAGATATCTTTGATGTTCTTCAGGACTCAATGATTGACGCCATTGTCTTGCACGATTTTGAGCACGCTCCATGAAAAAATTTATCTAAAAAATTAAAAAATAAACATACTGAACCTAAATTGAATACAAATTCTGTGACATTCCACAAATATGAAAAAGTCTACACAGATGCCTACGAACAGGAGAAGAAAAAAACCGTTATCTACACAACACTTTAATACAAAAGAACAAAAATAAAATGATGACAAAATACTTTTGAAGTGTAATAATTATCCGTGCAAGGAAATGACGGGCCTATATACACTTGCCGGTTGGTGTTAGGACTTGAATGGAAATGTGGAAGATGTGATGCTTTAATTATTTCATGATTTTTTGGGGTTAGGATTTGTTTGGATTTGATTAAGCATGTGACTTGGGGAGGTCAATGTTGGTAATTTGGGAGGTACTGATTGTGTTAAATTTGTGCCAAAATATTTACGGTTGGTCTTTAGATATCTTAACGCAAAACATCTTAAATTCCTAAAAAATGGTACGCGTTAAGATAAATTAACGCTAAAATGGTTTCCTAACCAAATTTTTGCGTTAACATATTTTGGGATCTTATCTATTGTTAAGATGTTTGGTACGCGACCCTAAAAATGGTTTTGCGTTAAGATGTTTTGCGTTTGTAAAAACACGGGGTATCTCTAAAAAATTAGGGCCAAAGTAGGTTTTTGAAGCCAAATACAAATGCTGAATTTGTGCCAATTTAAGTCGTGTACAAATTTTGGCTTTTAATTTAATACAAATTCATTTGAGGTCAGGCCATGAAAACAGCCTCTCTTTTTTTTCAATTAATGGTTGTTCACAAATTTGTCACTTGAACACTTCATTAATCATATAAGAAAGAACTTGGTACATAAGCAGGAGCATCCAAATAAGATTTCAAGAAAAGAGAATGGTGATACACGAAATACATAGTTATTCTGATTCTATATAGGAATAATGAATATGTATTCGTCCATTAAAAAAGAAAAAAAAAAGAAAAAAAAAGATAGGAGAAAAGTACCAACTAACAGTACCGAAGGTAGCTAATGTATTTACCCTCTATTCTTTATTTGTCCTTCTTCTTTCTGTTGCATTTATGTTGGCGTCTTCAACCGCATCATACAATCTCAGTTTCCTGTTGACAAAAACGGAGGCATATATATCATCTTATCCTCACAATACCACAAAATACAGCTCACTACATATTGGATTCTCTTTGAACACTTTATTTTACCAAAATCTGTTAAAGATGAGTTGATTAAAACTATAATTTGCTCTATTTTTGTAGACCTGTATGTTGAGTTGGTTAGTGTAAAAGAATATACTATAGTCGAACGAAGAGCATAATCACCCACAATTCATTACAGTAAACACAAAACCCGCCAAGAAATTACCTTCAGAAAACTTTTAATTCGAAACCACTTGCAGAAAACTTTTAATCCGAAACCAAGAAATTAACCACCAAGGAATCGCTGTAAAACCAGTCACACAAAACTTTAATCCGATAAATCATCTGAAACCAGGGCTCGGCTCAAAATATAAAAAACTTCAAAATTAACCAAAAATTAATTATTAGCTATCCGAAAACACAATTCAGACCAAACAGGAAAGAGGAAGAAAACAAAACAGTTGGAACCAAATGGCGTCAAACATGGAAACCAGATAGTCATTTAGCAGAAACTTCGGGTCCCTCAAGAACTTGAATAGACCCACAAAAACCAAGAAAAATACAAAAAATCTGACATAGAGTAGCGGGGAAAATGCTTACCAAATGGTTCTTCAAGGTTAGCGATTTGAGGGTTTATTTTCTAAATACAGAAAATTTGACAGAGTGTGTGCGAGTTCTTCCTCATTGTAATATTTGAGAGAGAGAGAGAGAGTGAGTGATGGAACGTACCTAATGACAGAGAAGTAAAGAGTTGAAGAAATACTCGAGGATTTGTGTAAATCCTCACGTTTATTTTTCGGATTGCAGGTTTGATGAAGAAATCATACAGAAGTTGGGTCTGTACACAACACAAAAGTAATTAACACGTATTAGTTTAAATAACAGAATTCAATTCACACATTACCCCAAAGCATTAGTAAAACAGAAACAACAACTGGTAATTCAGTAACTCCTTAAATGTCTCTGGCATTCCACAAAAGCAAAAATTAAGACAAACTGAATAACCAATACACAAAACAGAGAGCTTTCTACAAATTGGTCCAAAACCCAGTTAAAAAATCTGGTAAATCTAAATAATTTCGAATGGTTCAAATGACAATCGAGTTAAATACTCCAAATTAGTATACATGAAAATAAGTAAGTGATGAACAATTTAATTAAGCATAGAGTACCTAGATTGAAGCAGAAAGTGAAAATCTCTAGCGAAAACCCATTTTAAAAATCTGGCCAGGATAAGGATAATATTGTTCGAGAAAATTATCCAATTTATCTAATGTTTTCAAAGCTACCTGGCAATGAGAAACACAAAAATAATACAAAGTTTAACAGGAATCAGAATTTGTTTGGTACTCAGTAACCCAGTAGACACAATATCCAAAAATTGCTTTTTGGAAAAAGAGAATAATAAAGAATAACTCACATTTTTTCCTTTTACTTTCGCTCCATTTTTCTTCACCGATCTCCTCCTCTGCTTCTTAGTCTTCGATTTTCCGACTCCACAAAACCCGAAATTGACTATAATAAACTTAAAACCCTTCAAAAACTTGAACAAACGCAAAAACCCAAGGAAAGCACACAAAATATCAGAGTGAGTATTAGAGAAAATGCTTACCGGATCGTCCTTGAAAGTTAGGATTTCTGGGTTTTTAGTCTAAAAGAATGAGTGCGCATTCTTCCTCAGCGCATCGTCTGCACATTGATTTTCAGGATTGCCAGTTTCAGATGAAGAAATCATCCAATTTTCCCTTTTGTATGCTTTGTGGGGATCGAGAACGTGCGATAAATGGCGGTTCCATGTCGGGTCTGTGAACCGCTGCAGTTGCTGCTCTGATCGTGCGATAGTTGGTTTCCGTCTTTCTACCTGTGAGTGTTTCTTCACAGAGGCTGTGATCCAAAGGCTGAAAATGAATTTAAAGTGTAAGTATCCAATGGTTGTGAATTAATGTCGTTGAGAATTCAGTTCTATTACGTTTTTAACCTTATTTTTTAGACGGTTATTTTTGGGTTTTTTGTGTACGAAGTGAGGGCATTTCAGAACATCCCCTTTTTTTTATCTCTTTTTTTTTTTTTTTTTTTTTTTTTTTTGCTTTTTTTCCCCTAATAAAACGAATTATAATTTTTTTTTCCTGACAAAATTACCCTTGTAATTTTATATTTATTTTTTCTGTCCGTTTTATTTTTTATTTTTGTTTGAGAGGCTTTTACGTCCAATAACTTTTGGTGAAGTTTTAAGACACTAAAATTTAATTTTAGTTTTCTAATATCAGAGATTAACATTAGAGATTAGAGATAAAGATATCATATATATAAAGAGAAGAGAAGAAATACAATTCAAACGATGGGGAATGTACTACTCAGTCGCTTCAGAAACGAAAGAGACGATAGAGAGGCACAATCGGGAGCCAGGGAGGCTAGGGAGAGGGAGGCAAGAGCGAGAGAGACTAGGGAGGGTGGGGGTGCTCAGACTCTGAATGCTATTCAGAGACTGACGAAATCTGTGAGCTCCAAAATCCGTCAGTCTGCAAGGCAGGGAGTCATCGCCGTTCTATGTGAAGCCGCCTGGGCAAAATTTAAGTCTGCTGTTCTTTCGAATGAATGGGTATGCCAAGCCTTGCAAGAATACCAGAGACTGAGGGTATGGTTTGTTCTTTCACTGTCGTGCAATCTTGCGGGCATATTGTGCTCTTGCGCGACGCTACTATTTGTGGTGCACCGTACCCGAAAGCCCCCCCTCCCCCCGCCTGCAGACGACGGCCGCAACCAGAATAATGAAGAGGATGACCGCGATGAAGGAATGGATAGGGGCCGAAATCAAGAAACGGAGATGGATCGCGTCCGCCGCCAAGAAATGTTGATGGATCGCGTCCGCCGCCAAGAAATGGAGATGGATCGCGTCCGCCGCCAAGAAATGGAGATGGATCGCGTCCGCCGCCAAGAAATGGAGATGGATCGGGTCCGGTACCAAGATATGGGTCGCTTCTACCGAGAAACGGATCGCCTCCGGCACCCAGTGGCCAGAACGGAAATCCCAGTGATGGCCGATCACCCCCACCATCAAATATCTTCGCAAGAGTTGAACAGGTTAAGAAGGGTCGATGATCTTATTAGAACCCTTTGCCAAGAACTGAAAGAAGTTAACAGGATTGAGGAGAGCAGGATTGAGGAGAGGATTGAGGAGGATACAGGTTGATTCTTAGGTGTAACATTAACTACACTGTTACTAGATTACGCTGTTCCTAGATGTACACATTGTAACTAGAAGTACCCACTGTGTTCCTAGATGTACAGTGTAACTAGAGGTAGGCTAGAGGTAGGGCAAACACTGTTCCGTCTTAGGGAAAAATGTATATACTTAATGAAAGAGGATGACATACGACCCACAAATTGCTACATTCGAACCCGAAATTTTAATCGTAATCAAAGACCCACAAATCGCTACATTCAGCTATATACTAACCTGGAAAGCACGACTCACTCAATCAACAACAGTAAATAATTAGCCTTACCATTACCAACTATCCAAAGAACCTCAATTTACTGTCTTTTACAATTGAAACTACACTGAAGAATGCAGCAACATACCTCCAACTAATTAGGTTAAAAACAAAATCAAACTGATGAAATTTTCACCAATTCCATACATTTTTTCAACTCTCACACACTTCGAGCTAATTCGAACGGCATAGAAAGCAAAATGCAGAAGTCCAAACCTGGATTTTCAACGCGGCCAAGTTCTGCTGCCGTATCCACAACCGGCGGTTGCGCTCCAACCTTGTCTGCTCCAAAAGCTTCTGCCTGTCCCTTTCCTTCGTACTCCGCCCTCCGCCCTCCCAAATCAACTCGCTTCCGAGTCGATGAATCGCCCGTCGCCCGAGAAGAACATCCTTCCGCGTCGAGTCCGTCAGTTCCAATCCAATCCCAGGCGACGGGGATCGGTTGTGTTGCTCGGTTTAACGCTTCAGAAGGCTGGTTTACAAGCTTGTGAATGTTTTGATCGGATGGATGGATTGAGTGGGAGCAGAATCGGAGAAACTTGGATAAAGAGAGGGGATTGGCGGGTGTAATCGTGGGAAAAGGGAGGAATTTGCGTTTCGTTACCGAGAAAATTAGGAGCGAAATGGAGAGACTGTGAGCGTATTTTCTCTCGCTATTTTCTTATTGGATTTTCTCGGCTGGACTTACCGGAGGATGGAGACGTCGGCTGCGAAAGAAATTCAGTAACGTTTTATAAAATAAATGAAAGGCTTATTCTTTCCATGCCCTTAAAACTCTACTTGATCTCACTTTAATACCTAAAACCCAATTTACGTCATTTATTCTTTTAAAACTCAACTTTTATGATCGAATTTCACTTTATTTGAAAGTGAGAGGTATTAGATCCGAATCTCATGGATGTCGAATTTAATACCAAATTTAGCTACCCATTGTGTGGCCTAGCCGAACTTCTCATCTCCTTAATGTAAAAAATATCTATGTACTCAAAAAACAAAAACAAAAACAAAACTCAATTTTTACGTCACTTTGAAATTTTCCATTAATTCCATTAAAAAATTCATTATTCTCTAACCTAGCATGATCCAGCCCATTTATAGGGATCAAGATCCTCTAAAGCGTTATGTAAGGATTCTAGGAATCAATTCATCCTGGACATTCACCACACATTTTGGAACCAAAAATTATTTTGAATTTTGGCAACGAAACGAAGTTGAGTTTTGTGGGGGAGGAATGGGACTCGGTTCATGTTGGATGGCAAGGTATTTTACATTTATGATGGTGGTGGGCCATGGGAGATTGGGATTACTTGAGAGGACTGGGCAAAGTTCTTCATTATTTTTTTCAAATTTTTTATTTTTAATCTTATTTTTTATTCAAAAATAATTTTTAAATGAAGGAAAGTCTCAAAATTCATTCAAATCTTTAAACAAACTCTATTCAAATCTTCAATCAAACTCCATAAGAATCCTTGAAAATCCATTTGAAAGTTGTAAGGACGGTGTATTCAATTGAGATTTTGAAAGATTTTAATGGATTTTCATAGAGTTTAATTGATTTGTATAGATTTCATGTAAAATTTTGATTCAATTATCTCGAAATCTCATGGCAAGAGATGAGATTTGTGAAGCGAAATTTTATTTGAACTCATCTATCCTCTTTCCACACCAAACTTACTCTCTTCACCCATATTGTTTTTTATTAAAGAATTAATATTTTTTTAAACCCAAATTTATTACCTAAAATATCCTCTCAAACACAATTCAAAATGTAAAATTATCTTTACATCCATTCCCTTTATAAAATAACATCTCTAATTGAATGTTTTTTTTCTTTCAAAGAGGCTTCCTTTGCCCCTCTATAATTGCATATGCTGTATAGGATTAACATTTCCATGGTTGCTTTTTTTCTTTCTGCTACCACAACCCATCCATGGACTTGGGATCCAAGAGATCATTTCATAGACTTGAATTTGCCAAGAGAATGTTATGCATGCTCTAGTTCAGTACTTTTTAGGAAACTTTAAAGTGACATAAGGCTGAATGTTTTGCTGCTATGTTAATAAACAAATAAACAAATTGGAGCTATTTCGAATAAAAAAGGCGCAAGACATGCCACTTGCTAGTTCGTGGTTAAGGTTGAGCAATCCTTATTTGTACCCAGAATCAAGTTTTATGTCTTAGCAGTATTAATCAAAAGTCTTTGCACTGGTGTTTTGGGGCGTTTACAGAAGGCAAAGAAAAACAAATACAATATAATATAAAAAGTATGAAATTTTATCCAAAGAAGTAGCAAACAAACAAAATATCCATAAATTGAATCGTAACTTAGTTGGAGGATTAAAAACTCCAAAATTACCATCCATCAATAGAAAAGCTTGTTTTTCTCTATCAGAACTATTAGGGTTTTAGTCGAAATAAATGTAGGATAAACAAAGGGTGATGCTAGGGTTTAATTATAGTATGTGGGTCTATCGATAAATTTGATTTTTATTATTAATTTTATTTTGTACTTAATAATAATTATGCAATAGGGTAAAATAGACAATTAACATTTAAAATTTAAGTTGGGTGTTAAAAAAGGTTAGGTAGATTTAAATAAAATTTCTCATTTATGAATACTTAAAATACACTATGAAATCTTTAATTTCCTCAAATTACTCAACTTTTAAATTTCTTTAAACCTCTCGTGTCACAGAAGGTTATTTTATTAGGTCCCCTTAACCTGGTGTTGTCGTCTTATTGTGTGAAACAGATTGATCTAATCGATATTCAATTTGTAGACTAATTGAATTATCATATTCAAATTACAATTTTTTTCTCCTTGATTTGAATTCTGATGACAACGGTTTTATTTCATGACTTAAATAAGGGCGTGAGTTTCTCATTCCATGCGGGATAACTTGCTATGCGAACCATCATACGTTCTATTAAAATCTCATCAATCATCTTGTTTTCGTTAGTTGGATTAATAATCTGGTTTTGCATTGTGTTTATTTATTTATTTATGTTTTTACTTTGATTTCTTATTATGAGAAACACGTACCAAACCAACTCAAATTACTATTACCCCTATACATTACGTACATCTACTCCTTAAAAAATAAAGGAGTACAACGGGTCAGCCCAGCTCGACTAGATCCATTTGACACCTTCACAATCGTGTTTCATGTCTTTCTCATGGCAATGCATTTTTAAAATCATCATGTAACTTATCAAAATAAACAATGAAATGGTCATTTAGTACTATGGTCTAGTGTTATTCCTCTTCAATTGTAAGTGAGAAGTCTTAGATTCGATTATCGTCAAAAGCGAATTTGAACTATATTATTGCTAGCCCATTGTGAGACTAAGTCCATCCCCTTCGCTTTGGTGGATAATGTCGTTTTCTATAAAAAAAAATAATAAAAAACCATGAAATGGGCTTACATAATGAGGACTAGATGGGTCCTAAACTAGCCCAGCCCAAATTCACACCATAAAATTGGACAATTATTGGACTTGATCATTTTTTTGACTTTTAGCCCATCATAAATCAGCCCATCATAGCCCAATGGAATGTCCTTCAAAATATTTGTTCCCTTCCACTTTCCAAACACAATTGATGGTCTCAAAGTGGTCCAACCACCAATTGACAAAAAAACAGTGACAAAAAAAAAAAATTCGACAGAAAAACAAAAGCAGAAAAAGAAGGTCAAAAAGATTGACCAACGTGTTCATATTATCCTAAGAGTCATGACTCTTTGTATTCAAACATTCAAGAAGAAGACCACAGACAAGAAGAAAACACTCCTAAACCATCTTTGCCACAGTTACATATATATGTGCTAAATTGAATACAAAAGGTTGGTTGCATCCCCACCATCATCTTCTTCTTCTTCTTCTTCCTTCAGTGTGTCAACTTAAATTTGTAATTATAGTTAGGTTTTTCTGCAATTTTGGATTAGCGGTTGATTAATTCATATCGAGTGCTTAATTAAGTCTAATACATTGAGCAAGATGAACACCTTAAAAATATCAGAACCATCTTTGCCTCATTAGTTTGGTGCAAACTATGCCAAATGCTTCTTTATCTGATTCACTAATTATAAATTTATAATTAAACCCTAATTGAACTTATAATATTGGCTGACTTGTATGGCAAGTTGCTAGTTGACATTTTTGATTATTTGACTCTGTTATTTTAACTCTGTTTTTCAACGAGGGGTGCAGTGGTGTGGTAATTAAAGCTCAGTTTTTTACCTCCTAAAACATGGGTTTTTTTTTTATAGGAAAACTAATGAAAAGTCTAAAAAAACTTATCTTTTAATGAAAAGTCATTTTTAAAGATATAGTACTTTCTTTGAAATGTGCAACTGCTATGTACTTTCTTTTGCATAATTCAGAGTCATAGCTTGTAACAAGTGCCTAATTTAACTGTGGATAGATACTACAGGCTTTAGAAACATAGATTTTTTTTTTAGAAGAAACGATTCAATCTGTTTTGGGAAGCTTGCCGATCTACTACATGTCTTTGTTCAAAATTCCTTGCGGGGTGATTGGACGCCTAGAAAACTAATGAAAGGTTTTTTGTGGGAAGGTGTGGAGGAAGGAAAGAAAAACCACCTGGTAAAATGGGAGATAGTTATTAAAAGTAAAGAGGAAGGAGGTTTAGGGGTGGGGAATTTGAGGAATCGGAACGAAGCATTACTTGCTAAGTGGTTGTGGAGATTCCCAAAGGAACCTCATTCTCTCTCGCACAAGGTGATAAGAAGCAAGTATGGGCTACAGAATTTTGATTTCAGGAGAAATTTGAATGAGGCGGAGATAGAAGAGGCGGCTAGATTATTACAGAAAGTGGAAGAGGTTCACTTGTCTCAATCAAGAACGGATAACAGAAGGTGGAAACTGGAAGCATCAGGATTGTTCACATGCAAATCCTATCGTTCCTTCTTGAGTACCAATGGGATTATGCAATATTTTCCACCCTATTCACAGATTTGGAAATCAAAAGTTCCTCCGAAGGTCAAAATTCTTGTCTGGCTGGTGGCCAAAGGGAAGCTCAACACTTGTGACCAAATTCAAAGGAGAAGCCATTTTATCTGCTTATCCCCACATTGGTGCAGTTTGTGCAAAGCTAAGGAGGAGAGTGTAAACCACATTTTTCTCCATTGTTCTTACACGATTCAACTGTGGTGGAAATTGTTTCAGGAGGTTAGAGCTAGTTGGGTCATTCCAAAGGGTTGCTTCGAGCTTCTAAGCACCAAGTTTCAGGCCCTAGGAATTGGGAGGAAAGCTAAAGCTTTGTGGGGTTGTCTGGTCTCGGCAGTTTTTTGGAACATTTGGCT